AAGTGATTTTGGATAGCGTTTGCAACCTGCCTTGAGTGAAATGGCAGTGGTGGGTCCAGCTGTACCTGTTCCTCAGTCCCCAGTGACCGTCTCCAATACAGTAATGTGTGTTTATAATAAGGGATGGCTGTTTGATCCAGTAGGGCTGCAGGAAGATGACCTGGCCTCATCTTTTCAATGCATGCTGTTGATGCATCACATCTCTGTGTACAAGTAGGAACGATCTTGTGAGTGCATTTTTTTTTTTTTTTTTTTTTTTTTTGGTTATGTGGCTGGACAGTTACTGTTGAAAACCTATTACCCTGTCTGCAATTAATAAAACTGGTTCTCACAGTGTAAGGTAGTTTTCTCTTAAAAGGTTCCCTTTGATAGCTGTTGTGCTTAGACAGCAGTACAAACCTCTCCCTGTGCTTCTCTGCTCCACTGAGGACATCCTGACAGTGCAAATGACACCAGCAAACCAGGACTGTGATTTCAACAGAACAGCGTGCGAATCTTAGTCAGTGAATGCATCCTGTGACTCTTAATAGTTTGGCCCCTTAATCCACTTCTCCTTCCCAGCGCTGCCTTGTTCCTCCTCCCCTTCAGTTTAATTCCCAATTACTACACAAATGTGAATCAGTTTTTTTAAAAAAAGTGTAAAGAGCTGGATGAAAAGTGTCTAATTGTAGGAATGAATTGTAGGTTTCTCTTTTGCAGGGCTGATGGCTCAGCCCATGCCTTGCCTTTTCCAAGCTGCGTCGAGGAAGCAGGAGTCCGGGAACTGCAGCTCCCTTAACTGAGTCAAGGTTTTGTTCTTGGCTTCTAGCCACATACCATTCGTGCCATGTAGACAAGAAATGTTTGTACAGTACAAGACCCCGAGAAAAAGCCAGGCCTCTCGGCGGTTTTGAGGCATGGAGGAAGCTGCTTTGGGCAAAGTCCGCTCAGTATGGCCCCCTTTGCGGCCCCTAGTGGAGGCGGGGGTTTTCCCAGGCCTGTGGCTGGAGGACCTTTTCCGAACCTGGGACCCTGAGTGCATGGGAGAGCATGCGTCCCAATGAGACGGATGACTCTTTTGGGCAGGGCGGAAGCGATGTGGCCAAGGATGCTGGGCTAAATGCCCAGCTTTGCTCTCAGGGCAACTGAAAGATGGCACTTGTCTTCTTTGTTTTCTCTTACGTCTGGGCACCTCAGGCGGCAGGGAGGGGTGTTTATTTTTTTTTTATTTATTTAAAATATTTTTAAACTACCTTAAGACAGACCAAGCCAGCTTGCATTGTTAAAAGACAATGTATAAAGTTAAAAACAATAAGTACACAAAAACTGAGAATGATCAAAGAAAAACCATACTTAAAGACAGTAAACAAAAGCAACACCAAAAATACATTCAAAGCCGAAAGGCACAGCCATCCATTTAAAAACCCCACTCAGGGAGCCAGTCACTGAGAGGAAGCTTACCTGAAGAGATGGGGCCAGCCTGACCTCCAGTAGGAGGGAGTTCCAGCATCTGGGAGCAGCCACAGAGAAGGCCCTCTCCTGTGTCCCCACCAAACGCACCTGTGAAGGTGGCCGGACTGAAAGAAAGGCTTCCCCATTGATCTTAATACCTGGGCAGGCTCATAAAGGGAGAGACGGTCCTTGCTGATGAACAGAACAGTGTGTTTTTCTCATGCCCTGCCTTGTTCCTTCACTGGTGCTGCTAAACTGGAGCATGTTGGAGTAAGGTTTGGGTGTCTCTCCAATCAGCATCTGTGTGCTGTGAAATACCTTAGACCGTCCATGTTAAGAACTTACATTTCTGCAGGCCCTCTCCAATGGCAGAAATCGTGTTGACTTACCATACCTGTATTTTATGTTACAGAGGCAGCTTTTGTGATATTCAGATGTGGAGCTAGATTATGAGTGCCAACACAAACACGCGCTACAATCGTTTCCCTGGGGGTACGGCCAGCATCACTTCCACAGAAAACTCTAACGGGGTAAGAGAATTGGGGGGACTGGAGGTGTTTTGTATGTGGGTACTTAACGGCTGGTCTTTCTTTGGCTGCGCTGGGCTGGACCCCTTTGGGGGTTGTGTGGCCAGAACAACTTCTCTGCAACCCTTTCGAGCACGTTGATTCCCTTTGTGCTGTTACCTTTGCCAGTGACGTTGAAGCTGCTCCTGAGCTTCAGCCTGGATCAGTTCTGTGGCGTCAGAGATGAACAGAGCACCCATACCTGGGCCAGAGAGACCTGGGAGATGGCAGAGTATCTCACCATGTTCTGGGAAAGGCAGCATAGGTGGGAATGTGGAGAAGGCAAAGATGGGGGAGCTGTAGGCACTTGGGGTGGAATTGATAAGGGCATAGGAGAGGAGAGTCTGGCATGGTGTGGGGTGCAGGTGTTTTTGACGGTGTGGTTGGTGATAACAGTGACATCGTTGGCAGAGGTGCGTGCATGCGTGCACCAAAAGGGAATTCAGAGGCCCACCTCTGGCTTATACTCATGGGTTTAAGGGAAAACGGACAGCCGAGCAGTTCTGCTCCTGTTTGCTGTAGCTGCATCTAGTAGAATCACCGTTTCGTTTGAGTATTCGTCTCTCTTCTCAGTAACCTGGTCTAGCCAGTGTTCTCAAAATGCCAAGGACAGAATGTGTGCTTATGGTTGTTGTTGTTGTTCCCCCTCTCCTTCATTTCAGGCAAGAATGGAGACCACTTTTGGGCCTTCTTTCACTGCAGTGACCACCATCACCAAAGGTTAGAGCTGAGCCTTCCCTGTTTGTGTCGAAGGGACCATCCACGCACGGGTTGGCTCCTGGGGCTGCCCGAGAAAGGCAGGAGTTGTAGGTTTCAATCAAAGATTTTAGTGTCTAGAGCCCGCAAAAGGCTGCTTGCTCTCTGATCTCCCTGCAAGATCTTCTCTGTGGCTGAAGTGATGTGTCAGAAAAAGCACAGGGTGGCTTCCCTGGACCAGATTGGTTGTCCAGCGGCGCCAGCTCTTTCTGTCTCCAGGAAGAAGCCTCTCGAAACAGTCTCAAAAAGTAAGGCACTGTGGAATTAAACCAGGCTCTTTATTGTCCAGTGCCAGCAAGTGGGAACGTTTGTTTCCTTCTTCATTTGCTGTTAGTTTCATCTCTATCCCACCTTTCCTTCCATGAGCTCAAGGCAACATCCATTGCTCCCCTCCTCCCTTTATTATGGTTACGACAACCCTGCAGGGTAGGTTGTCCTGTGGTGTCCCAGACTGCCCAGGCCCACGGAGGTGAAGGGATGGCCTGTGGCCATCGATGGCCTTCTGTGGGGCCCCCTCCTTGCTGCAGAGCTGTCCAAGATGTTTCCCGTCCTGCCGAGGGTGGGTTCCAGATCCCTGTTCCCCCTCCAGTGACTTAGCGCCAAGCGTCTATTCCTTGTTCCTAAGAACTGCTCTGTGGGGAAATTGATTCAGTAATGGGTGTTAATCCATTTTGGGAACTTATTATCTGGCAGATGAGAAACTCAACCGGTTGTGTGGCAGAACCTCTTAAGGTTTTGTCTTGCTTCTCCTTTCAGCGGACGGGAGCAGCACGTTCAAACAGCATCGCCGGACCCCTTCCTCTTCCAGCACGCTCACCTATTCGCCCCGGGATGAGGACGACAGCATGGTCAGTGCGTGGAGTAGGGCCTGGCAGCGTCAAAAAGGGTCGCGATGTTGGGGATGGGGTTTGGGCTTGGCTGTTGGGAAAAAGTGGCCCCTTTTGAAGAGGTGGTGGGTTCCCGTCCTCCTTTTGTTCAAGCCAGACTTTCTTGTTTGCTCTGTTTCTCCTCCTCTGTACCTGCAGAGGGCGCTCCGGACCACAGTTCACTCCTTCACAAGAGAATTTGCAGAAATGCCAAGGGGGGGGGGGTGTCCTGTGGGAACCCCTGTCCCAAACCCCACAGTCCTGGGGGGGGGGCTTCACTTAGCAGAATTCCACAGCTGACTGCCTCCAGCCTTCAAGGTGCAGAGCTATTCTTAGGCTCTTAGGGCCAAATGCTTGCCTTTAACACAAACACACCTTTATGGGCTGGTTTTGAACATACTGTCTCAATCCAGCCTGCTTTACAAGACCGATAGAAGTACAAATGAACATGTGCAGCACAGTTAGAAGAGTTTGGGAAGGCAGACAACGAGAAGAACGCTTTATAGAAAAGTGGTCTTCTGCCATACACTTTAGGAACAACAAGGTCCAGAATGATATTGACCCAGTAACCCACATTTCCGAATGTAGCAGGGTGGATTTTGAAGGTACAGAAAGCAAATGAAGAAACCCTCTGAAAAAGCTGCATGAGACCTGTGGTTGGTCCTTGGGAGGAATAAGGGACTCCTTCTTTGTTTGAACTTGCTAATAACCATTCCCTGTTGTGAAGAACGCAACTGACTATTGCTACTCTGTTTCACACCTTGTTTTTCCATTGCTGTATCTTTCTCCGTTTCCTACTCTTTTGTTCTAATGTGTTTACTTTTGCAATATTTACTGTTTTATGTTACATTTGAACACTGTTTCCACGTGCAGAGGAAAGGAATCTTAGGTTTTTCAAAATAAACTGCGGGGTGAGGGGTGGGGAGAGAGAGAGGGAGGTGTCATGTTGCTGAAAGGATTTTTGTGTAGCTAGCCAACAATTGGAGGTGAATTTATTACCTCCACTTCTAAAATCCCTGATGTATTTTCTTTTTCTTGAGCAAATGGTTTTTATGAACTGCCGGAACATTTATTAGATGTTATCTGGGACTGAAACAAAACTGAGCAACATGAAGACTGTTTTCTTTTTTAAAAAAAGATGCTTCTGGCTTCTGATTCATCTTCACGTGGCTGTTTTGACGTTGGGTAGAGAGCCCATATTCATCCCGACTTTAGAGCAGCCTTCCTATGCGCTCGGCCCCTTGTCCGAGAGATTCTCTCCAATGCTGCTTGAGCGTTGCTGCATTCGAAATGGAGGGGTGTGTGTGTGTGCGATTTCACTGGCAGCAGCATCCTTTTGCTGAACCAGTCCCAGAAAACCAGCAGGCCGGCCAGTGCTCAATGATTGGCGGGCACGATGCCCAGCTGGCTCTCCCACCGCTACCCACCCCCAAACAGGAAGCCACAAAGCAGAACCCGGAGCAGATTGAATAGGAGGAAGTCTCCAGCCTTCTACGCACAGAAATTTTGGCTGAAAGGAGGGAGGGAGGGAGGCAGCTCAGCAGCAAGTGCTCTCAGAGGCACCCGCGCCTTGCGAGGGAAGCACGCTGAGCTTTCAGTGAGGAACCGTTTCCGTGAGGAATCTTTCCGTTCTGGGGTGGAAGCCTGGGCCAGCACCCGAAGGCTCCATGTCGGGAAGGTGAGCTTATATGTAGGGGAAGCAGGCTCCGAAACAAATGGCTGGTGCATCGGGGAGCGGCCCTGCGGTCCTCGTGCTTGCCTGCAACCTGTCTAATTTTTGCCCGTGGTTGATTAGTCCCACAAAATTTAGGAATTGGAGAAATGTTTAACTTGGATGAATAAAAAGTATCTTCTCTCTCTCTCTCTCTCTCTCCCCCCCCCTTCCAGAAATAACCATTTTTCAGGGCCAGGGAAAGTCTCTTCCCCAACTCACTCAAGGCTCAGCTTCAACTGTACTTTCCTGCGTTTTGCTTAGCTGGAATTTGGCTTGTTTTTTGCTCTCAAAATGTAAAATGTGCCGCTGTTGCGAAAAATGTCCTGTACTGTAGGGTGTTTCTCTTCCCTTAGAGCAACGCTCAGAGTTCTGCTGACTTGTCTTCTCTACCACAGTTAAACAGCTACAATCTGATAAGGAGCCTTTATTTTAGTCTGGCTCAAGAAATCATGGTGCTCTGTCTAGAGCTTGGTGGATATTGTGGAAGTACAGATACAGCTCAGTCCAGTTTGCCATGGGGGTGGGGAGCATATTTGCAGAACGGGACCTGAGCCCTTGAGGGTTGCTAAAAAGCATGAAGCGATGCCTGGTAAAGTCACAGAAGAGAAAGTCGTTGCTGAAAATATTTGCGGCCTCCGGACCGCAGGGCTTAGGGAGCTCCTGACCCACTTGGCTGACGGAAGCAGAATCTGCAGCACAGTAGAGACGGCAGAATGATTTGGGCAGATCAAAAGACGTCATGCCTCCATTTAATTTCTCCTAATTTGAGTAGACTGCAAAATTCAGCTTTTACTGGAAGAGAACGTTAATATGAGTGTAGTTCAGCAGGCGTGTGGTCCTCACTTCTTCATAGAACATTCTGCTAAGAAGACCAACTTTGACCAAGAGTGCTTGGGTCATTCCCATCATGCTGGTGATCAACAGAAGCATCATGGGTTGCGGAGTGACCTTTCCCAAGCAGGGTGTGGAAAGAGAGGCAGCTGCTGAGTTTTGTGGCTGCCAGGAGAATATTTGTTTATTTATTTATTTATTTATTTGATTTGATTTGATTTGTATCCCGCCCATCTGGTCTATGCGAAAGGTTACATACTCATAGTTGCCTCTCGTCTCACATGGCTATACAGAATCCACCCCACCCACCCCTCTCTCTCTGCCACTCTCTTTCTGCAGCCGCCAATCAACACCCCACGTCGGTCCGACTCTGCCATCTCCGTCCGCTCCCTGCATTCAGAGTCCAACATGTCCCTGCGGTCAACCTTTTCTCTCCATGAGGAAGAGGAAGAACCAGTAGGTATTTGGGGGTTGTTGGTGGTGGTGGGTCTTGCATGAAGAGGGGCAGGATGAAGGCCCCAGCGCCGTTATGGAAGGCTGCAGGGGAATAGAAAGACAGCTCTTTTCTTTAGAAATATCTGAGGCCACCCTTCACAAAGCAACAAGAACAATTTACAAATAATAAAAACAGATCACAACAAAACCAATAATAATAATAATAATAATAATAATAATAATAATAATAATAATAATAATAGAGCAAGCTGTGAGAGTGACTGGGTGCCCTTCCTTCCCTTTCATGCTTTTTCCAACAAGCAAAGACCTTTTTCTTCACAGGCTCTTTTTTTGGCAGGTGGGCTGCAGAGAACCTCAATAGGTGGAGGCCGCACTTTCCTCGCTCCTGTGTGTTTAATTGCTTTTAATTGCATTGCGAGTTAACACAATCATCATGTCGAATTGTGGTTTCATATTATATGTTTTGTTCTTTTATTCGTGCCTTTTTAGTGGATGTTATTGCTGGCCAGCTTGAGTTCCAGTTTTTGGAGAAACACAGAGTGTAAATCTCGTTAATGGTTAGTCTTTATAAGGCGCCACAAAATGCTGTGTTGGTTTTGGGGTCAGAAGAAGTGTGCATAAAGTCTAGAGCGGATGTAGACTTCCAAACAGTAGTTGTCATGTTCTCAAAATGATTATGTGTAGGGGCTCAAATCAGATCCAGCACATGCTGTTTATAAATCCATTTATTCATCAACCCATCTGTTTATTTCTTTTTTAAACATATGCCCTGCCTGAGGAATTCAACATGGCTTATGGCAGGCCAAGAGTATAGCAGGACTGACTAGCAACAGTGCTTCCTCTGGACCTTCGTAATCTTATTTCTCATATTTTAGGAAGTTGGTTTTCTCATTGGCTGAAGTAAAAAAGGTTACATACTCATAGTAAATCATTGTCTGTTTGTAGATGGACTGAGATTCTTAGATGAGTCTTACCTCATCATGGACTCACTTCCTGCTTGCTAGTGCCATTGCTTTTTGTATTCCCAAACCCTGATCCTGTTTTAAATAGTGCAACTGCATTTGAGCAAATGGCTAACAGTTTTCCATTTACCTTTGATCTCTGTTTGATTCTCTCCCCCCCCCCCGGTGTGCAGGAGCCTCTGGTGTTTGCTGAGCAGCCTTCAGTGAAACTCTGTTGCCAGTTGTGTTGCAGTGTGTTTAAGGACCCTGTGATCACAACCTGTGGGGTAAGGCATCAAATCTGACTGCATTTTTGGTTGCATGAAAGAAGGAAGCTTCAGACTAGCTTAATTAGTGCAAGGTCTGGGGTTGTCCCAAAGAGGGCATCGTTGGTGGTAACAATTTTACCACAGTGCAGGGCCCATGGAAGCAAACCATGGAAGGGCTAAGCTTCATCAATTCTCCAGCTTTCACTAGTCACATAAGCAACTTCATCGTGGAACAGCTGCGTCAGCTATCACAGGACCAGGAAAAGGACCCTTCTGTGCTTTGGAAAATGGCAGCTGGCTTCAGTAGATGGTGCTGGCCTAGGCAGACCTCTGGCCTCACACACTAGGGCACTGTTTTGTGTGCTTCGTTGGAAGGGCTGATGGAAGAACACATTGAAAATCAAGAAGATAGATCCTCCTCAGCCAAATCAAAGTCACTTCACATTGCACAGCACTTCTGGCTGTTTCCGTTGTGTCACCCCTTGCAGTTCACTCCTACTCTTAGGGAGGTGGGAATTGCTGAAAGGAAGGCGGTTGGCTTGGTTTGTGGCTTCCATTCTGGCATCTCTTTGGCAGGAGTGCTTTACAGGTGTGTGAGTGAGGAAGGGGAAATCAGAGGTGATGAATCTTGCCTGTATTATTGCCCTGTAAAGCAAGCAGGCTGGATCCGGACAGAAAACTCTGTTTTTTTGTGTGTGGGTGGTTTTTTTTTTTTTTTTTTTTTTGTCATCTCTTTCTCCTGCTGCTTCTCTGAAACGGTGACTCCATTGAGGACATGCTTACAAAATGTTTCAGTTGTTGGCCTGTTTTGTACCTCAAGCTGGCAGCTCCCCATCTGAAAGGCACTCCATGAATACGCCAAGGCAGCATCATAAGATTCAAGGAGGCCGTTGTGTTGTTATCTGTAGGTCTTCTGTAGAGATGGTTCCCATCTCCTCTCTACTTCGACCAAAGTGGAAAAAGTTACAGTGTGGTTGATGAACAAAGCCAGAAAAGAAGGTTGTCATGAACCTGTAAAACTAGTATGATCAAAAGAAACAGACTGCCTTCATTGGAGAAGAGAAATAAAAAGAAAGCAGTAGCGCTTTACAGAGCTGAACATCAGATAAGAACACTAGGTTTGTTAAGGCATAGTATACTTTTGTAAATGCCCAAGTGTGGACTAGAAGAGAATTGCAGGTATCTGTACCACACTCCTATGCTGTACATGCTGCACCTCTTCACTTTCTAGTTGGTCGCTATATTCAGCCTTTCTTTGATAGGAATAAAGAAAGAAAGGTTGGAGAAAGAAGCAGTATTCATTTTTAATTTAGTCTCACACAAAGACATGTCAAGATGTGAACATTTTTATGTATAGAGAATCAGCTCTGAAAATGAAAATGGTTTTAAAGTTGAGGCTTGAACAATAGTTTACTGTAATCATTTCAAAACAAGTAGCTAGCTCTAGCCGAGCAAGGTCACTGTATCATAACAATCCCTGCGGTTGAACTTGTTTTGCAAATGATAACCAACATAAACAAAGGATACAGATATTATAATTTACACTCTTTAAAATTATAATGTTCTGAGTTTTCCAGGTTTTGGGATATCTAGATCTTTTATGCTGCTGGCCTTTATTCCTCCAGTCTTTTTAATATGTTAGTCATAATAATAACAATATCTACATAGTGGCAGCTTGCCAGACTTCAAGTTACAAAACCCAGAGAATTACAGAAAGTGCAGGAATAATACACTTCCCTATTGAAATATTGTTTCTGGACCTCCCAAGTCCTGAAAAAAAAGTTTATCACTGATAAAGGGACAGTAAGGGTATAAATAACGCCCAGAAAAGATATCCAGGACAAGGAGCAACGAATGTCAAGGGAACACCGGTAGGGGGAGAAAACTGTGCTGGGGGTGTTGGAGAATAAGGTGTTTTTTTCTATATACACTGAAGTGATTTTATAATTACTTATGTTCTTATCTAGCCTTTTAGTTACATAGTTAAGATACCTTAACTGAGAGTCAAATTTGTATAACTTAGAAAATATTCTTTTGTAACACCTTTTAAATGATGTCTTTTGTAACACTTTAGATACAGTCTTCTTGCATTTGAAGTGCTATGTTCTCTTTTGTTGCAGAATTTTACAGTTTTGTCATGGTAGTTATGCACATTTCTCATATAGTTCATTAGGTTTTTACAGGCACACTCCTGTAACGTTGCATTAGGTTTTTATATTTAAGCATCTTGGATATTCAGCAGAGAAAACATAACACGTTTATATCTGCTTGCATGTGCCTGTTCATTAAAAAGAAGAAAGGTAAAGAATGCTCCTTGGGCATTTAGTTTATCTGCCTTGCACGGGGCAATAAGTTAGAAGGATATTCAGAAGAAAGAACAGTTGTACAGGATGCAAAATATTCCTCCAGGTCACATTGGGATTAGCCCTTTTGAAATAAATGCCAGCTGTGATTAGCACAGGATTTTCTCTGGAGGTCTGCAAAGGTCAATAGGGCTCTTAGGGAGAGTTCAGGCATCAATTTATCTGACTTGACAGACACACAAAATGTGTCCAGTAACAAAAAAACATGTCTGGCTATAATATTTGTACGTACCTAATGGCCCTTATCTAAATGTCACTTTGGAGTGGTCGAGCTCTTTCGTTCCTCTGCTGGGAAATATTAGTCTTATCTACACTTTGATGCTCTTCAATCTTTCTATTCATTATCTTTGAATGGAGATGCTAAAGATGCCTTGTATGTTAGCAAATACAGGGGAAGATGCGAACGGAGAATTAAAAGAAAGGACAACTGAAAGCAACACCTTGGGCTGCACAAGAGTCCGAATTTTTTGCAAGACTGACAATTGGTGTCATAGCAGACTGTAAGGAAAATATGTCCCCTTCCGCATACTGGATTTCAGTTCCCTGATAAATGATGGCAATTGTTCTAAGACACAGATATGAACTAGTGAGATTTTTTGTTGTGAAATATTTTTTAACACATTTTACATTAGGTCTCAGGTTAGTGAACCTGTTCCAGTTGGCTTTGGACTTCAAACAGCAACGGTCTTGAGTCACCCACGTGTTGTCTCTTCACCCAGGGGTTGGGGTTTTGGTAGCTGGAAGGCGAGAGCGAGCGCTCGGTGTCTCTTGTGTTGTTGTTGGTGTGTGCTTAGGGCCTCGGGGAGGAGGGCCTTCTGTCCCCTGCTAGCCGGGGTAGCTCAACAGGACCTCCACGATAGGGAGTGATGCTGGATTAGGCCAAGATCCGGTCAGATCTCAAGAGAATACTTCTTACGGTCTTGTGTTGTTGTCTCTTCCCCTTGCAGCACACGTTTTGCAGGAGATGTGCCTTAACGTCTGGTAAGTACCTTGGCGGTACCTGTTTCAAAAATGTGTTTCTTCTGGCCTGGTGCTGTTGGGAGCCACTGGTTGACGGCCAGCGCTTTTCTCCCTGCAGAGAAGTGCCCAGTGGACAACGCCAAACTGACGGTGGTGGTCAACAACATTGCCGTCGCAGAGCAGATTGGGGAGCTTTTTATTCACTGCAAGTACGGCTGCCGGCCCGCGACTAGTGGCAAGCCCCCTACCTTCGAGGTGGATCCCCACGGGTGCCCCTTCACCATTAAACTGAGTGCCAGGAAGTAAGTGGCTGTTGAAGGCGGTCCTCTTGGGTGTCAGCTCCTTCACTTGGCATTTGGGGAGGGAGGGAGTTTGGGAGGGCTGGGGAATGGTTGTTTCTGCTTTTCTAGGGAGCGGAACTTTTTCTTGCTGTTCTTTACACTCTAAAGAACTTAAAAGAGCAGGGGTGGACGTTGCTGGCAGCTCCAGAAGTGCATAAGTAAGTGAGCAAATAAGTAATAATATAAGAGAGAAGAAAAGAAGTTGGCGTTGCAAACACAGGGCTCCTCTTGGGCCACTCCAGTGATAAACGGCACGCCCAGGGATCACCAGAAAAGGCGGGTTGCCTTAGGATGCCATCAGGGAGGTGGTTTTGCAGGTCGTCTCTGAGCGGGTAAGGTGGCAAAACAGGACGTTTAACTTAGTTTGTGCAAGTAGATTTCATGGACTCCACTTAGCCCTCTCAAAGGCCAGCCCATGATGACTGGTTCACAGAGCGCAGAGTGAAACTGGAGTTCACTGGCAGAAGATGAAGGGGTGGCTGCCAACGGGGGTGGCTTTCTGGTGACCAGTTGGGATAGCTGGACCTCACTCCCAAAGTGCCTCTTTCTGTCAGCCGCCGGGAAACGCGAGGTGGAGGGTCCAGGGGTCCTCCTTTCCTGCTGGAGGGCTTCTCAGGAGCCGCCTGGGGGGGTCACTGTGGGAACAGAGTCTTGGGCTGAAGCAGCCGCCATTGGTCTGGTCTAGCATCAGGGCTGATTCTGCTTATGAAATGGATGCGTGAGAGCTTTGGCCATTTCAGCTGCCTTAAGAAATAAAATAAAATCCAGGTGAAAATGCTTGACAGTACCAAGAGAGGGAGGGCTGATGCTTCTGGATGCTGCTTCTCCCTTTGCCCAGGGACCATGAAGGCAGCTGTGACTATCGGCCCGTGCGCTGCCCCAACAACCCCAGCTGCCCGCCGCTGCTCAAGATGAACCTGGAGGCCCACCTCAAGGAGTGCGAGCACATCAAGTGCCCCCATTCCAAATATGGGTGAGCATGAGCGCCTCTCTCCCCCCCCCTTTAAGTATATGGAGCCCTCTGTATTTCCATTGTTACGATCATTCTGACTTCAGCGATCCCTCCTCCTGTAACGTCTTTCTCGTCCCTTAGCTGTTCCTTCATTGGTAACCAAGACACCTACGAAACGCACTTGGAAATGTGCCGATTCGAGGGCCTGAAGGAGTTCCTCCAGCAGACGGATGACCGCTTCCACGAGATGCAGGTGGCCATGGCCCAGAAGGACCAGGAGATTGCCTTCCTGCGGTCCATGCTGGGCAAGCTGTCCGAGAAGATCGATCAGCTGGAGAAGAACCTGGAACTGAAGTTTGGTGAGTCTCCAGAGGAAGAGATTGACTCCCCCTTCCGTGGGAGGGAGGGAGGAGCTGAGGATGGACAAAAGGAAGGGAGGGAGGGAGGGAGGGAGGAAGGAAGGAAGGAAGGAAGTTTTTTGCAGCATCAGACTTTCCTTTCACTTCCACATGCGTTAGCAGCTGAGCGTCCTTTCGGCTTTGGCCCAACCACTTCATCAGCTCTGGAACTACTTGTCCTCCACTCTTCCTCAATAACATGTTGGACACCTTCCACCCTGAGGGGCTCATCTTCCAACATTATATCTTTTAGACTTTTGTTTCTGTCCATGGGTTTTCTTGGCAAAGATACTGGAGTGGCTTGCCCGTTTTTGCTCCAGGTGGCGCGCGTTTA